CTGATTTTAGAAGTGGGCCATTGGATCGGGTCCCAGTGGCTTAATGGTATACGAGCTCGCCTTGTAACCAGAAGGTCCTGGGTTCGAATCCCGGTGGGTGCGTACTGCTGGAGAGTCTCAAACTAGGACGAAACAGCTGTCCAGTCTTCCCAGGTTTTCCAATGGTTCTCTAACTAATGTCAGATCATGATGAAAATCCTGTAACCAATCAAATCCCTACAAACCAACACTTGGATTTTAAAAGTATTGTTGTAACCGAAGTACTATGAATCGATCTATGAAGTAATAGTTTGCGTCCTGTCCGATTATTCAGGATTCATACACACATGGTGTCATATTTGCAAATTTAAGCAATTCAATAGGTTGAAACAATTGTTTCAATGTAAGTTATTTCATATTTTGTCAAGGTTCATTTATCACGTTGTAACACACTTAGCGGTTATCGCTTGGACAAATTTCAATGCATGCATTTATTTATATTTCTTTATATTAAAACTTTCAATTATGTGAAACTAATTTACATACTTCATAGCTTGGAAGTATTTCAAACACTTTGACATGAATAATTATCACACTTGACACTATACCCCTCAAATTTAATTACTATTTATGAAAGGTAAGAGGTACAATACAATTAAAGAGTGTCTATAATGTCATTATTTAAAGTATATTATTAAGTATAAGTCACATAAATATTTGTATTATAATAATTTATCCATTGGATATGAAACCAGTTTTTGTGATGATTTAAAAGAATTTCAGATGGTTGACCTAGAATTTAAAAAGAAGTTCATTAAATTCAATACCCCTTGATAAACAACTATAATAAATCAATAAAGTGATCAGTATCACCAGGACAGTCCTTCTAATTATTCCTCTCCATCATTCCATGACATTTATTTAAATAGTTTACATATTGTTAGAAAGCATATTATGTTTATAATAAACTAAATTCTTCTTTAAAGAGGAATGAGTCAATAGCATTTAAGTAGGATTGTAGTGTTTTGATTAATTCACTGAAATATGAAAAATTTGAATTACTGTTATCATCATTATTATTATTACTATTATATTGAATCAATACTTTTTCGCGCAATAATCGAAGTACTCCAAAGTTACTTTTGTAAACTCGCTACAATATTTTCAAAAAGACCGCTTATATTTGTACATCTCCGTCAATGTGAATAAAAAAACGTTTGCTTTCAGTGTTCACAAAAACTGAAAGAGTTTTAGTATAAATTCTCTAATGTCTTAGTCTATTTTAATCATTTAACGGACAGAATGTTTTTTTTCTATGGCTGATTTAGTTTTCAAGACTCTACTAATAACGATGTCCGGTTTAGAACTAATGCTGTAATAGTCAGTTGTAAGTCTAGTCGACAGAGATATTAACTGTAGCGTAAATAGTAGAAAGCTCAATGGTATTTACTTCCTGTTGTAAGTTTTACAGGTGCCAGTGTCTATTACAATGTAACAATTGTGCTTGCTATAAGATAATCTTATTTTTTTCATTCTGTCTAGTAATCTAAATGCATTTTAACCTTTAAGTTTAATTCCGTTGTTTCCACTTGAAAGTAGACCGGAATATGGACTAAAAGCGAATTTATTGACTCTTTAGTCTTATTTTTTTAAATTTGTCTTACCAATAATGATAAATGATGAAAAGTAGCACGTTTACAGTATAAAAAGATAAGTAGCATTAAAGACAAAGAAAGAAGTGAATGGACGCTTTAAATAAAACAAGAGACCGAAGTACTGAAAAGCAATAATTTGAATACAGCTGTCTTCATCTCAGTAGAAATGATTCATAAGTGCTATCCAAAACTAAGGTTCATTCATTTCTATGTATATTAAGAGCAACAACAGTATTACCCGTACTTGTTACCCCGACTCTTACGACAAAGTGCCGACTAGAATGTCTAATTATATCGGCTTTATTTGTTAATCACAGTGAGTGACGTAGATAATCAGCGTAAAATAGAAACTCATATAAACAAATCTAATCCTTACAAACCAAACTCTTGAAGATTAATCTGATGCTCGACAGTGGCTATAGGACAGAGTTTCATGGAGTTCTAGTGAGAAGTCGTGGCCAGTGAGGTTCATCCAGTGGGGAATGAGGATTCAGTTCCCACCGATGACATTGGTTGGTGCCAGTCACGCTACAATCACGAATCGGTAGAGGTAAGAATTCATGGGCCGACTACTGAATAGGTTTCCAGTGGCAGGTCTTTGGTTCCAACCCAAGCAGTGGGTGCATACTGTCGATGATTCCCAAATTAGACTGACCAGACAGCTGTTCATTACTCCAGTGCTGGTTTTCAATAGTTCTCTAACTGATATCAGTCTCAGGATTTCATCATGAGCTGACATTGGTTAGAGAACCATTGGAAAACCTGGGAGTACTGGACAGCTGTTTCGTCCTAGTTTGAGACTCTCCAGCAGTACGCACCCACCGGGATTCGAACCCAGGACCTTCTGGTTACAAGGCGAGCTCGTATACCATTAAGCCACTGGGACCCGATCCAATGGTCCTTGAATTCTAACTTCTGCCAATTCACGACAGCGCAATCGATAGCCAATGTCTTCGGCGAGTATTTGTCCTCACACACGACCCGCTGCACCCTACTGGTCACGACTTCCCACTGGAGCCCAGGTAACTACCTACCTGAATAGGGCCAGTCACCAGTGAGCATCTCATTGGTATTCAAGTGATGGTTTGTAGGGATTTGATTGGTTTCAGCTCTTTCGTCAGCTGTCCAGTACTCCCAGGGTTTCCAATGGTTCTCTAACTAATGTCAGCTCATGATGAAATCCTGAAACCAATCCAATCCCTACAAAACATCACTTGATATCAGTCTGTAGTCAGACTTGTATAAAATCGAATACTAAAAGCCAAACATTATTGTTTTACTTTCAACAGGAATTATGAATTTTTGATAAGGCCATGTAACCATGTGAGTAACTTTATTATTGTTACCATTGTACAGATTGAAGGTGTCTAGTACAAAAATGATAATGTTAGCCGCAAATTATGACAACATCAATTACAACAGTGATCAGATTTGCTTATCAGTTTAACACACCATTTGTATATCTTACATTAAAAATTAAAAAAAGAACTTTAAAATGAATTTAAACACTGGGATATCTAAGTCTACCGAAGATTGTTTACTTTTTCAGGCGAGTCAATGAATCATTTGTTGACAGTGAACAAATAATTGTGGGAATTAGACAGATATCTAGTAAAACATATGTTCACTTATCATTCACTATGCTTTACGTAATTTGGGGTTCACAAAGTGACTATAAATATATATTATAACAGCTGTTCTACATGATTAGTATGCCCTATGTAGTTGAGCCATATACAAGCCTAGTCAACTGTCATATTTATCCTAAATAAATAATAATTAATGTAAAATGAATGGGTAGACAGATATGCTACAGCAAGCATATGATATATGCTTTGTTCATCTCGGTCACTTAACATAATTCAATATTCAATGAGTCATTCATTCATTCACTATTATGATAGTCTTGAAGAAAGGTCATTGTCAGGTTATCGATTTTTATCATGCATTGCATATTACTTATTTATTTTTTTTACTTCAGAGAATACATGGTCAGTCTTCCTAGCTGATCAGTTGGTTTTCAAATGGTAAACTTATTACGCGTACAAATACTAACAAGTAGAAATACCTGAATAATTGACAGTATGGATATTTATGAAATACCGAGAAGATTTAATGGTATTCAGAAGAACTTCATAATTACTACTAATGAAAAAGTTAACTTCAAATCTTCAATGCCAATAGGTATTTCAGTATACCATTAAGGAATAATACTTGCATACTTCGAAGTCAGTTCTTCTATACGGAACCGATCAGAAACTTGGTTGGTCACAAAGAATACTTCCAACAGCCTGTTGCAGACATTTATCAACAACTGTCTTCGCTCTATACTGAAGATCAGATGGCCGGACCGGAAAGAATCACCAACAAGAAACCATGGGAACAAACGAAACAAGAACCAATCACCAACCAACAAATAAGCAGGAGAAAGTGGAGATGGATTGGACACTCGTTGAGAGGAGGCCGGTTGGTGACATCGCGCGTCAGGCCCTCGAGTGGAACCCAAAAGGTAAGAGGCGAGAGTGGGACGTTCAAGGGTGACATGGAGGAGATCGTGTGAAGAGGAGCTGAAATAGTAAGGGCTAACATGGATGCAGGTGAATAGTACAGCAAAAGACAGAAGCAAGTGGAGACATGCAGTTGAAACCCTATGTTCCACTAGGAACCCAAGGGAACAATAATATAAATATAATAATACTTCGAAGTTCATATGTAAAGTACAAATTTTTAATTTTCTTGAACTTTCAGAGAAACTAGTTCATCCTCCAACTGTTTTTAATGATCCTTTGTACTCGATAATGAGTTAGCATTCAGTTAAATGTGAGTGAGAAGTTAGAATTCATAGGCAATTAGATTTCGCACCAATGGATAAATGGTCAGTGAACTCGCCTTGCAACCCTAAGGTCCTGAGTTCAATCCCCGGGGGAGTCATGGGTGGGTACTGCTAAAGAGTCTGAAACAAAGTCGAAGCTACTGTCCATTATTCCCTGGTTTCAAACAATTCCCTAGCTGATATCAACCCGTGATCACACCTTAAACGTCAGTCTTTGGGTTGCAATGCAGAATTTGATCACAGCTCATGTGAAAACAACGTCTACTTTAATGACTGTCCAAGAGAATAAAGGAAATTTACTACCAATGAATACAATTACATGACACATTTGTTTTTAGCTACTAGGCATATATAACTGCTGCATTATTGAAGAGTAAATTGCTGCACATTGTGTATTAATTCACTGACACCGATATCTCTGTTATGTCATATATAGTTATCAGGAAAAAAATCACATTGATTTCATGTAAACTAATTCATATCGAATATGACGCATAATTTTATACTACATTTCCGAAAAAATTGAAACTTACGTGATAGACCCCACCCATCCAATGTCTACAGAAGACGAACCGCCAGTAGATAACTCGTCTTTACTTTTACTAGATTGTGCAGGTGCAGACTTTCTAGATCGCAACATTATTCACATAATATCCAGTGTTTTAATGAAGTACAACGCAGATTTTAAACTGAATTATTTAGATAACTTGTTGGGTGGATTATGCATTTCTTTTTTAAAAAAAAGACATTTTGTCTAACACAGGATTACATCAATATCACACATTCCCATTACCACACCAATTGGTCTATTGTGCAACTATTCAATGATCTTACATTCTGATCACCTGACCGCTAATATAAAACATATTTTCAAAAAATTTTTCTATTTAGTTAACATCCGCATTTGTTTACCACGAAAAGGGACTGAACTTAATGTGAATAAAATGGATGTAATTGGCTGTTTATATTGACCAATAAGATTCTCGTTTGTTGGTGTACTGATGTGTGGTATTATGATCCACTAACAAATAACGGTCGATAGAATCATTAGGTTCAATGAGGATTTCATTTGCAAACAAATGGTTTTGAGAAGTTTTTTTTTTCAGACATATTTTATACAAACCTTTCAGCTGATACAGACATTTTAGCTGTGCTGGATTTTGGGAGGGGGAACTATTTAATAATATGTAAATTGTATATCCAGAAAAGATAGTTTAAATAATGTCAAATAAGATAATACAGACACTTTAGAAAATGATTGATTTTAAACTTATGTTTCAACTAGAAAAGAAAAATTAATTCAGACTTTTCATATCACCCTGCTGAGACTTCCTTCTTTAAGGTGTAAAGTGACATTTAAAGAAGCACATTGTAGACTGTACCCATTGTGTCTCTGTCTGGCTTTTTAACACACTAACAAGAATGTTTCATAAATTTTACATCATTCCAGGGGAAAACGATTGGGAAGCCAGTCTTAGAAAATAAATGTAAAGTCTAGAACGGATTTATGTTAGGCAGTTGTAGACAGACGACGAGAAGCTCTGACTGACACTCACTAGCAGGTTTTATCTGTAATATTGAAAGAAAGGCTTAATCTACTGGAAGATTCGAACCTGCGTCATGCAGTACTTAAGTCAAAGACGAAGCCACTGAGCTACTCGGGTGTTTAGTGGTTTTACCTCAGTGACAAGTGAATGTATGCTGAGTTGTATGTATCCCATTTCTGGGAAATATCCTGGTGTACCTTTAATCAGGAAAGAGAGTGTCAGCATAATGAACGCACAGAAGCTTTGAATGTTTGGTGTGTATTACTTATTTGGTGTATATTATGATCATTTTCTAACAAATACATCTTGTTTATCAATTTAGATTGACAACAAATTAGTTAATGATAATATTATAACTCACTTACTCGAAACAGATGTTTTATGTACCAGGCTTTGGACTGCTGTCCTCGTATGAGGGCTTATGGTACTATCTAGCAGTTCAGGCTGAATTCCGAGGAGAAGAATTAGAATCTGGGACTCGTTAGTTGGAAGTTAAGTGCATAAGCCTTTCAGCCACTGTTGTAATATGAATATCTTATATATGGATGCATTAAATATACTGTAAATATAAGGTTGACAGAATATGTATACAGGGAAGCTGATGCATAGACAGATGCCAAAATAACGGTTTGCTGATGAGTAAAGTAACTCTTACTGTTCCTTATCACTTTCAAGCCTATGTGGAGGTCAGCGGCACTCAGCATGACAAATAAGATCCAGATTTTCAACTTCAGTGTGAAGTCAGTGCTGTTATGCAGATCAGAGACTTGGCGCGTCACGAAAGGCACTTCAAACAAACTACCGATTTTCATCATCAGCTATCTTCGCTCAACCCTCAAGATCAGATGGCCATAAAGATCAGCGACAGGGATCCTCTGGGAGCAAACCGAACCAGTAGGAACCAACTGTGCAACAAATATGCAGAAAGAAATGGAGGTGGATTAGCCGTACTTTAAGAAAACCATCAGGTGACATCACACGACAGGCTCTCGAGTGGAACCTCAGTAAGAAGCGGCAAGTTGGTCGTCCGAGAGTGACGTAGAGGAGATGATGCGAAGAGGAGATGAAAGCATGTGGGCAGACGTTGAGCCAGGTGGAAAGGCTGGCGGAGAATCGAACCCAATAGAGACGTTTGGATGAAGCCCAATTTTCATCTAGGAATTAAAGGGAACAGTCATAATATACCAATAATACACTTCCCCATGAGCTCAATTGCTCGTCAGCAGATGGCAGGGAAATCGGTTTTACGATGTAGTGATGCACCTGAATTTGAGTTTACTGAGTGTTTTTAATTTGTATTATGAAATTAAGTGATAAAGGAATAGTCATGTGGAAAATCTATTATCCTTAGTTCAAATGTGATCATTCAAAGAATACATTTAAACAGTTAGTTGTTATCAAAGTATTGTAGTTTGATTAAATGTAAGCTCCACCAGGTTGGGTGTAAGGACAGATTCTTGCCAATGGCGACTGTTAGTGGAGAAAAAATTGAGAATTGACAGAAGCTGGAATTCGCGGGTCATTAAATTCCGACTCAAGTGGTTGAATTTTCAACGACCTAGGTGTCCTGACCTGAAGGTCCCTGGTGGGATCATGGGTGCATATTGCTGAGAAGTCCCGGACAAGGATGAAAGAGCTTTTTATTTCCTTTTCACATGGTCTTCTCAACATCGCCATCTGACTCACAACCATAGCTTCTCTCGAGAATTCTACTCAAGGAGTTGCTCGACCTGTGATACCACTCTTCAGTTTCCTCAGTTTGTGTTCAATCTTCCTTTCCGTCTGCATAACAGAAAACTGGTTCTTCATTGCCAGAGTTCCACGTCACTTATTCTTCTCGGTCAGTCACTTGAGCTTAACTGGAGAGCGAAGGCATCTGTTGATAAAAGTTTGCAATGGTATTTTGGAAATGCTTTTGATGACGCTCGCACAAAGTAAGCACTAACTTGACGTTAGTGTTGAGAGTCCGGATCGTTTTCCTTCCGCTAAATTCTATAAATCTCGACAGTGATTTCAGATTATTGAACTCATATCTTGATTTTTTTCTATCTTGGTTAACATTTAGATTCTACTCTGTGCCGTCTGAAGTTGAGATGGTGACAGGGTGTTCTAACAAATAAATGATTTCTTATGGAGTTCTATAGGGGAATACTACTGCTTTTATATTTTGCTCAACGCTGATACTGGATACATGGCAGCTGAGTGCAGACTTTTCACTTATGATAAATGTTAATTTTTCATCTTTTATAAGGCTTTAAATAGAGAATGTTCCTGGTATATTTATCGTTTTTCCCTTCAGAGGCTGGCTGCTTGCCTTGCTAACTCCAATTATTATTGTCCGTAAATAGTCAGACTGAGTGTTATGTTCGGTGATATAACTGACATCCAAGATATTTGAGCAAATAGAAGTACTACTCAGCTTTACTATCTTCAGTTACTGTAACTATCTAGAATGATATGAAGTGTCAAAATATTAATGGATCAAAGTTCTCAAGTGTCTGATAGCACTGTGAATTCTATCAAGACATGATCACGAAGCACAGAGGTTTTCCGTTGCGTTCGCAACACTTCCAGTGCTCTTCTGCATTTTTGGTCAGCAAAAACATCGGTCACAAAATTTCCGCGCTAGATTTTTCCCCCAGTCTTCCACGTCGAAATATGAAAAAAATATCAGTTTTTTCAAATACTTCAAATAATAAGAGAATCAACATGTGGCAATGCAGCAAGCAGCTTTTTTTCACAATTAAGTATAAGTTAAAGCGTATCATTAAAATTGTGATAAGATCAAGGATAAATAACCACATTTTCTTATTTCAGACACAACACTTGACTGGAGTCATTTACGCCATATATATGAGTGCCATTTATTTTTAAATAAAACAATCTACAAGGAAAATGGGGGCAGCCTTCAAAACATGTGGGATAAATAGAGATGGACAACTTTAATGCTAAAATGATGTGAAGAAAAAATTGAAATTTGAACTGTAAATGTAGATATTTATTTGTATTAATTGAGTTATTTAAACAATTCATATTGATTAGCTTAGAACACAGGGTTTAATTGTTTTGATCGCACACTTGGGATCATTTATAATGTGGCCACTGGTAAAGTTCAGTCCATTAAGTTTATCAGCATAGTGGCACTTCTCAAATAAAAAAACTGTAGTCTCCTTAGTTTAAGATTTGTTAAATTCTACCACCTACACTGAGAATTATTCTGATGATGCACGTCCAAAAAAGTGTAATCATTATTCCCGGCTGAAATTCCTGATGTGTTTGTGTTCTGCAAGACATTAAAGCTGTTGCCTTAGTTTTTTCACAAGCTTCAAAGGGCCCTAAAAGGGTTGAACACCGGAAATTATCGTCAAACGGTTGTTTAAGCATGATATATAAAAATTTGATTGGATGGAGGATTTCACCATAAGCTGACATCAGTTAGAGAACCTCTAGAAAATCTGGGAGTACTGGACAATTGTTTCGTCCTGGTTTGGGACTCTTCATCAGTACTCACCCAACGGGTTTGAGCCCAGGACCTTCTAGTGACAAGGTGAGGTCGTAGACCATTGAGCCACTGGGACCCGATCCAATGGTCCATGAATTCCAACTTTTGCCAATTCACGACACATCACGACCATTTCGCAACGTCCAGTACTCCCAGGTTTTCCAGTGGTTCTTTAACTGATGTCAAATCATTATGAAATCCTTCATCCAATCAAACTAAATCCCTGCAAAACCAATACCTGAATATAAAAATTTATCAAGCTATCATTCATTTCGGATAACTATGGAGTTCATTCCTACTAAGGATTGATGTGAAGATATAGTACATTTATTTACATTTGTAGTCAAGACGACTATGATTACCTTTACTTATGAAACAGTGGAATGGCGAAAAGAATGTTATGATATAGCGTCTTCATCAGACGCTTCACTCCAAACATCCTGTTGTGTTTTCAATGAACGAAAGTCTTTCATAAACCAAATGATAGGTGAACAAGAGATATGGAGCAGTTGACAGAACAGACAAGATCTCTGTTTATCTACGGCCCAAACCAATGCAAAATGTTCTTTGTCAGCTACTGAATACTTCTACTGGAAGAATGTTAGAACGCGGCTGGTATACTGAGCAAGTATTTGGGCCTGTTTATCATCTGCATCTATTCCATCAGTACTCATATAATTGGAAACTTCGAAGGACTTCGCGTGAAGGTGTATTCTAGATGTCATCTAAAAAAATCCTTAATGAGGTTAAATATTTTCTGCTAGTAAACCAACTGAAACATGCTATCCTCACCAGAAACTGTAGAACTTTCTCACTCAAATTCACGAATGCTTTCATTGTCAAGAGTTTAGACTTGTTTTCCATTTTATGCCTTAGTTAATTAATATCCCCGTTATTCACCTAAGATTTTATCCTACGAAAGAGTACTCTAAACACGCAAGTACGTATTTAGTGTCTTCTGAATAATCATTTTCCACCTACTATTTTTTTACAGCTTGATTCCACACAGTACGTTTTGGTAGAAGTATGGGATTTTCAGCATGCGATATCGGTAGCCCAAATTTTGCAGACCGACCATAGATATCAGGTGTGCGTCGGCAGACGATCGAACTCCGGACCATGTGCATGGTCGGCGAGAGTCCTAACCACTGTTCCACCTATGGTATCATCCTCGACATATAGCTAATTCTTATCAATATAAATGGCATGGGACATATTTAGTTTTCAATATTGTGACCCAAATCATAACCACCACTACACGCTGCACCTAATTAAACAAATCTCCAACTTCGGTGAACAACCTCCTTTAACTTAATACTGCAATCACAGCATTCTATGAGTCGATGTGTGGAGCTTTCAATACTTCTACTCCTGACATTTCTCGATTTTCATATATGCTGTGCTTCCTCCTGAGTATCTTCCAAAAGTACCAAATACATCTTAGAATTCACTGGCACTGTATCTGCTACCCGTGTAATTCGCTTCTGGTATTGATAATACCATCATAGCAGTAATCAGAAGCTGGGCTGCGTTAAACAGTTAAAACTGTCACGCATTGGTGTTTGGAACATTGTCAAAAAACTTTGGCTAGGACTGCTCACGAAGAGTGGAAGGAGCATGGAGAAGTGCATTCGTCAGTTTCAGTCTGCTGTCAACTTCATATGGCATAAATTTTTCACTGCCTGTCTATATAACTGTGGGGTTCTACCAAAAGCCACTAAACTTGCATCTTCTATGTTTCTTTTGCATCATCACATTATTTTATTTTTATATTTTTATTATAGCTTGAAACCAAGTGTGGAATTTTCAGCATGTGATATCGGTAGCCCAAGTTTTTCAGGCCAACCATTGATACCAGGTGATCGTCGGTAGGCAATCGAACCCCGGACTATGTGCAGGGTCGGTGAGAGTCCTAATCGCTGTGCCCCCATTACATAATGTATTCACTCGGCATCGCAGTAGCATCCCTAGGACGTTGCCATAGCTATCGAACCCTGTAAATCAGCCAGCTTTACGATCTCCTCAAAGCCCTTCCTTTAACACTACTGGCTATAGAACCTGAATTATGAAGGAGTCTAAAATGCACCTGAATGCATTTTTGATTAGTATAAAACACACGTTTCGAGTTGAAAGTTTGTAAGGAAGTGTTCATGCAGCAAAATCAAAAACACAACTTCATATATCTATCAATCTCGTTCAACGGGTAAAAAAAAACACTTTTCTGAAACACCATTCTTCTCACTATGCATTAAAATGTGATACAAAAGAATCAGAATATGAATCACTATTTTCATCACATTTGACGAAAATATAACCGAGTTTCATTGTTATAATTAATTCCAAATGAATCGTGACTAATAGAACAAACATTGTTAAGTTAGTATGGAAATGATTCATCACATGTCACATAATGAAACTGTTGATGATTGTGCCCTTTAAATGCAAGGAAATAACCCAGTCATTTTTCTGCATACCGCTAATGTAGATGCATTTTAAATAATCCCATTACAACTAGCTGAATTGGATGGAATAGATATTCACACTATTTAGTATGAATCATACTAATTATATCTTCATAAACTATTAATCTTGATATGTCAATAAATTAGTTACAGAATTCACGAAACAACAAATCATTTATTATTTAATTATTTTTCCCAGCAGGCTTCAAAATTGTGAATTTACCATATTATAAAATAGCAATCTGGTGTTTTTTATGTGTGTCTGTTCTGTCTACTGCTTTTTTTGTTAGTAGTGTGAATAAACATAACATTTGCTGTTTCCCACAATTAATTTTGTCCCCGGTAAAAAAAAACAAATGAACTATTTTAAGCTAAATATATCCTGCCGAATTAATTCTTAGAACAAGAGAACAGTTGTGTTCTGTTACTTATTAAAGCAGGGAATTTGCTGATTGGATGCTAAAGTGGGAATATTTAAAGATTGGATGCTCCTTATTTAGATCGAAGTCATCCTGAAAAACTTAACAAATAAATTTCAAATAATGTGTGAACATTAGTTGACAAGGATCAGTGTCACAGCGTTAGGTCACGTAAGCTGTCAGTTTAGAGAGTAGGTGTGTTTAAATGGGTTCTTAAAGGTCCTGGATAAAGAATCACCCTTGGTGCTAAATTTCTGAGAACAATGAAAGTCATACCCAGCGGAGTCCACCAAGTCAAGCTTTAGGAGAGTTACTCGCCTATAACATTTGCTGGCAGTTGCGCTGAATATATCACGAGTTGGCAGAAGCTGGATTTCATCAACAACTGGGCCATGCCGTAGTGACCGAACGTTCTACGAGCTTGCATCATACCTGGAAGGAGCTAGCTTCGAACTTCAGTGTATTGATGAGGAGTTCCAAAGTAGGACGAAACACCTGTCCAGTACTCCCTGGTTTTCCAATGGTTGTCTTACTGATTTCGGCTCGTGATCAATTTTAATGTCCTTATTAACAATGGAAAATGGAAAGGTGACTATAAATTACTGATCGCGCACCATATATGAAAATTACAAAATATCTGAGGAAAAAGTATTGATAGATCTACTCACTGACACAAGGGATATGGAGATATCAGTTCGGTGGTAAAGGAGATTGTTGACCGTAGATGTTGTCTTTTTAACCTGGAACTTTGGTGTATCTTCCATTGAAAATCAAATTAATTTCAAAGGAAAATTGTGAAGTAAACGATGATATGTCAAGTGAGGATAGGTTCAAATATCAGGGTTGGAAATCTATCAAGATCGATGCAAGTGAGTATAACATTAAATAATGCTCCATTGATTATGTGCAATATTCGTAGTTATTAAGAGAAACAGTTGTTTTAATAGGCGGGAACTTTTGAATCACATTTCATTTTGAAGTTAATGGATCAGAATCTAATAGTTTCGTGTTTCCAACATCATATTCGTGGCAGATTTGTTCTCCAGTACGTTAACAAATCCACATTTACATTAAATTGGTCTAATGATTTAGACATTATCCTTAGTTTATCGGAAGTGTGAAAATTATTTCCTAAAGTCGACTAAAATGTCAACATAATCTTGTGCTACTCGATACCAAAATATATAACATTTTCTTATGTTAGTCATGCGTAAGTTTACCAGCAGAAGTATTTGAAACCTACCTGAGAGATCCAGTACTAATAGATGCGTTCAAATGTTGACCATTATATGATTGCTGAGTGGATTCTGTTGTTTGTCTGCATGATGACTGATACGTTTTCCTTTTTGATTTAACTTTTTGCTTTGACAACGAAGTCGACTGGTTATTTAGTTCGCAGTGGTTTTTCACTTGATCTTCGCTTGATCTGAGAGTAATCGGTGTGCTCGATTTGCATGTTTCCTGAAATTTCGCATGTATTGGCAGTTCTGAGCTAGTGGTTTTCTGAAGTTTTAGAGGTACAAAAAAGGGTATATTTACAATAAGAGTGTTCTTACTTAGCTAGTATATCATTAATTTGGCTGTACTTCCTACATTGAAACTTTGGGCCACATTAAATTGTCACTGAGTTGCCAAATATATCAATTATACAGTGTTTCTCACTTGTGAAACCGAGCTCGCAAACGTTTCCTAACTCAACTAGCAAATAGAGAACGAATGTGGGCCTTGATTTCAATAACACAAAACCTTGTGCATTCAAGATACTCAACTCTATTTGAGAAATTCTTCAGTGTCTTATATGATATCAGGTCAAACCTTTCGAAGACAGTGAGATCAATGCATCTGAGAATGTCTGGTGCCTGGAAATTCGAGCCAACTTTACGTATCTAAAAGAAGTACGTCAGATCTTTTTCTTCGATACCATAACCAGTTTACTTTCTTAAGAAAATCATTATTATTCAATTATTTATTATCCAAACTTCCTTTCTACTCTCTTATATCAGTCCCTATTTTTATTGGATGCAAAACTTCGACCGGAACAGCCTGGATTCAGGAGAAACAAGTCAGGTATTGATCAAATCGCCACACTACGGATCATGATTGAACAAAGCTTGGAATGGAAGTCACCTCTCTATCTCAACTTCATCCACTTCGAAAAGGCCTTCGACAGCGTCGATCCAGAGGATATTAGACAACTACTTCGCTACTACGGGGTCCCATCGACAATCATACATCTCATCCAACAGTTATACGACAATGCTGCATGCCAAGGAATCCACAATGGGAATCTTACGGAAGCCTTCGAAGTGAGGACGGGAGTGAGGCAAGGCTGTCTACTATCGCCAATGAACTTCCTGATTGCAGTAGATTGGATAATGCGACAGAGAGCGGGCAATGAGGAAACAGGCATAAAATGGACCCACAAAAAAATCTTGGAGGATCTGGACTTCGCCGATGATATATGTCTGATTTCCCACAAACAAACTGGAAGATATGCAAATGAAAAGCAACAAGTTGGCAGAAGAAGCATCCAGAGAAGATAGGACTTCCTTAGGGTGAACATAGAAAAGAAAGAGGTGATGAAGATTCCTGGCCAACACTAACAGCAGCAACAACAGACAAATGGGAGGAACCTGTAAAAAACAGCCTCATTAACCTACATATCTACCTGGGAAGCATCGTTTCAACTACAAGCGGACGCAACTGACGAGGATATCAAAGCCAGGAACATCGGAAAAGCAAGACAAGCTTTCACTACTCTTAAGTCTGTGTGGAGGTCAACAGCACTCACCATCAAAAATAAGATCCGGATTTTCAACTCCAATGTAAAGTCAGCGCTACTATACGGATCAGAGACTTGGCGAGTCATAAAGAGCATCTCAAACAAACTACAGTTCTTCATTAACAGCTGTCTTCGCTCAATACTCAAGATCAGATGGCCGGCCAGAAAAGATCAGCAATAGTGAGGGATCTCTGGCAATGAGCGAACCAACCCAGGAGGAACTGATTGTGCAAAAAATAGGCAGGAAGAAATGGAGATGGATTGGCCATACTCTGTCTGAGGAAACCCTCAAGTGACATCACTAGACAAGCCATTGCTCGAATGGAACCCGAAAGGGAAGCGGCAAGTTGGTTGTCAGTGCAAGGGTGGGGTGACTTGGATGAGGTCACGTGAAGAGGAGATGTTAGCATGTGGGCAGACTTGGAGCGGGGTGAAAAAGTTGGCAGAAAACTGAGGGCAATGGAGACGCGCGGCTTAATCCCTATGTTCCTATAGGAATTAAAGGATATAATAATAATAAATAATTTTTATTACAACTTCTTCTCGTTATTTACAGTGCTTTGATCCCTGGTCAGAAACAATTCTGAAATTTTCTCACCCCCTTTGATACATATTCACGAATGGCTTTGTCCGAAAGACACCGTCTTTTTGTTTTCGTCTGGTGTGATGAGTATACTCAATTATTATGAATATCTTACACAAAGCTGCAACGAGGTAAACCAGATTCTCAAAATCCACGACTATGAGGACATTTCGTGGCGGAAAGAATACCAATTTTTACTAGGCACTGAACAATGTTTCATTTTGTGGATTAACTTACTGTTCAAAAAAGCGGGTGTAGCCAGACCCTTTAAGTCAGTCTTAAGTGAACTAATTATTAGGCTGCCAACACATGATGTCAGTATTTATTAGTGACGCACAACTTTGGCTGTGACAGATCTAATGACCTAGGTTTAATGGGTACCGAAATAACATTCGGAGCGAAATAATTACCAGAAGTATTATCTGAATAAGCAGTTTGGACAGAATGTTTCCATAATTTTGTGTCGAAATAGTACAGGCCAAATATCCTCCAACAGTTCGTGCTCAATTCGCAGTGACAACGTATTTAGGAGTGGTGTGTACTAAGCGGCTATTATACTACTTTAGGATACAGAAAAGGAATTTCAGGTCAGTATGTAGGCGAACCGTACCTAGAATTAATTGCTGTTCCTTTTAGCCTAAGTCTTACATGAATGTATGAATAAAAAGCCACGATACAAAAGAAATATTAAACTAGAGTGAGAAAAATAATGAAAAGGCATTTGCCTGAAATATTTTCAGAACAATACAAAGTCCATGACTTATTTTGAGCTACTTACTTGGTTAGGCTCCCGTTTAATAGATTGTACTGTAGCTTTTGGCGTTTTAACTGGTTTACGTAAATTTAAAACAATGTTACAGCTTTTAGAAGATGATGGAGAATCATAATTGGGACTTGAAACCTCTAGTGAACGACTAGATTCAAAACGTAGCACTGAAGACTTTTCAGATAGCTGATTGTTATTCGGTAGTAATCCCTTAATTATTGATGATGAAATAGTCGATGCATTATCTGTATGTTTTTCAGTTTTGTAGATGTCAACCCCATTTGCTTTATAATTGTATCCAGAAGAATGTGACTGCGATTTTGGAACGCCGTCCACCACTTTAAATTCATGCGAAACGCATCTAGGAGATTTGACTGTTGTTGTTTTGGAAGATATAGATCTTGTTTCTGAGGGTTTATTCAACATCTGAACTGAAGGAATCAGTTTTAAACACTCCAGTTTGTCTAGTGGTACTGTATCGTAAGCATGACAGCTATGTCTGTTTGATGTACTTGCTGGAATTTTCGTTGAATAATGACTAATTCTAGAGGTGTGGCCCAGGATATCTCTTTGAGATAGTGAGTCATTTTTCACGGAAGGCTGACTGTTGCTAAAAGTAGGTAAAAACAATAATTACAGTTTCGACTGTACAGACTCTGTTTCTTGTGTATACCATAGTAAAACTGGATAAAACTAACTTATGAATACTGAAATTAGGACGAATTCACTTTTGGAGAGTGTCTGAGGTGTGATCATTCATAAAATTGGACTACATAATTACTTTCATGGGAGATAAGATTCGTTAGCAGCCTAAGTCACACTATGTGAGCTAATGTTTTCTAATATTTTTCCTTTCCTCGAGAATTCGGAAGTGATCAACCAGGAACAGCGTAATCTCCGAATAACCATGATGGATAACGGTTTTCCGCCTAGGTTCATAGATAAGAATCTCAAATCAAAGAAGACTTCCGAATAAGTCTAATCCGTCCCGAAGAAGATAATTATGCTTAATCTAGAATTCAAAGGTGATATTGAAGCAGAAATCCTTCGTAAACGCCTTGGCAAATTGCTTCGAGCCTACGACTGACGTTTTCCTGCAAGAAGCTGTTCAGCCACAAGGCGAAAGACAAGCTGCCGCATTGGACTACTTCAAGGTGCATATACCAGTTTACTTGCTCTTGCGAAGCTGTGTACATCGGCCGTACCATACACCAACTTGAAAAACGCACTTGTGAACACTATCCAGCCTGGCTAGTAAAAGGAGAACGAAAACGGGTGTATAGTTCAGTGACAGAACATTTGGTCAATTCAGGACATTCAGTGCCATTCGAAAAATCCTTCAAAATAATATATAAGATTCGATCACACCTATCAAGGGGTGTAAAATTAAGACATTCGGGCATAGCCGAGGCACTAGCCATCCAAAATCTCGAATCCACGCTATGTATCCAAAAGAAATACGTCCAACGCTTGTCCCTGCCCTGGCCATCATAAATAGGTAATTCTTTTAATAGTGACCATCCCATTGCCTTTCTTATCAAGACTTCCTGTTTATTCGTGTTATTTTTAAGTTTTTCTTAATCCCTATTTACACTACCATATTTTCATACCCGTACTTCCTGTCTGGTTTGTTATTTTACCATTTCTACATACTTAATCTCTAATCGCATAAACAATTATTCGTCACATTAATTATGATCCCACTAGATTTTTTATCTAAACATTGTGTCTATTTTGTTATTCCTACATTTCTAACCCCTAATTATACAACATGTCAGTCTTCTCGGTAATGATGATGCAACTTTGTTTGAATTTTATCCGTCCTCCTGTTTAGTTATGGCATTTTAATTCCTAATTGCAATTTTATCAATTTGACCCTTGACCAGAAGTTATTCTGGAATTTTCCCATCCATCTGATATAAATACACGAATGTACAGCTTAGTTGATGACTTCATCGAAAAGAAGATTTTCTTCGCTGCAACTGTGTTTTTATTCTTTCCTATGATCAAATGTGTATATTCCGTGATATTTAGTAATATTGTAGCGCATGAACTAACGAGATCACTGACGAATGTCATGTAGAAATTAGAGGAAACTACTTGAAGAAGGGACAGATATGCCAGAAATCAACTGTATGGACTGTTAGCCTCACTTGTTTAGTCATTTCCGTTGACAGACATCTTAGACACTTTATTAGTTTCCTCTAAATTCCTATTTTAAGGCAGTTACCGATCGAAATAGTGGAAAACAGGCATTGCTAAGAGGGTGCCAAATAACAGCCGTCTAGTCAGATGGATTAAGTGATCGACAATAAGTTAGTGGTACAAGGAGAAGTTCATAGAAGTCAAAATCAAAAAGGTTAATGTAATGCACCTCCATTCAAAGTTGGCTGTCGTTATAAATGAATGCTCATGTACTATGAAAATGTTCATCATCTTTGTGAAGTACTAACAAGATCTCGCTTGTAATTAAATATTCTCATTTTAGTTAATCCCAGTTTAGCGAAGCTTTGAACAACACCCTTCGTTGGACTTAATTTGATTTTTGTTAAGAATCTCTATTCCGCGTTTATTAGTGCACGTTTTAAAGGTAGACACTTAACCTTGAGGAAATTTATCCCCTCAAAGATTTGAATTTGTGTCATTCACTGCTGAATGCAGGAGCCCTAACCACAAGTTTTTTAGTTTGGAATAATGTTGACAGATTGACTGGCGACCAAAACCAACCAGTTATGCAGTGTTTTTTTTAAAATTTTCTAATAATGTTTAAAGTTAACACCACTTATCTCAGAGACTAGATGAATACTTAGTTCAATGTAGTTTCCCTTTTAGAACAGTCATAATGTTTTACGGGATTTCATCATGAGCTGACATTAGTTAGAGAACCATTGGAAAACGTGGGAGTACTGGACAACCGTTTCGTCTTAGTTTGGGACTATTCAACAGTACGCACCCACCGGGATTCGAACCGAAGACATTGGCTAGGGGTCGCGCTTTGTCGTGAATTGGAAGAAGTTGGAATTCATGGGCCATTGGATCCGGTGCCAGTGGCTTAATGGTATATGAGCTCGCCTTGTAACCAGAAGGTCCTGGGTTCGAACCCTGGAGGTGCGTGCGTACTACTGAAGAGTCCCAAACTAGGACGAAACAGTTGTTCAGTACTCCCAGCTTGTTTTCCAATGGTTCTCTAACCAATGTCAGCTCATGATGAAATCTTGTAAACCAATCAAATCCCTACAAACCAACACTTGAACATATTGTGTTTTATTTGCAATCATAACTCTTACCGTCTTTGTACAATCGAGACAGTTATGATGTATGATAAATATTTTTCACTGCTGTATGATAAATATATTTTCACTGACTCACTGATGATGCGCTTCGTTTATTCTCAGGTAAAGTGTAGTATCTATAGGTGTATATAAATGGAGATGTTTCTGACTGCATTCCGGAGGGATTCAGATTCATTTCTATTACCTATTGGAATTTCTCAACTCTTAGAAATACACTTCCATGATGAAATACGAAATCTACGAAAGTACAAGTAAACCTTGTATTTTTTAGAAACTTCACAAATTTCTTCCTCTTTATGAATTTGAATAAAGCAAAAAAATAATGACGCTAATATAGTTTCTACACCGGGAGTTCAAGTTTAAACAAAGCAAATGCATGCGTACAATGACAAAGGAGTTACGTAATAAGGACGAGAGATGTGTAAGATGATGACTAAATACTAAATTGGATAACTGCGTACTAAGTTCAACCATTACCCAATTTATTATTTAGTCATCATCCTACACATCTCTCGCCCCTATTACGTAACTCCTTTGTTATTGTATGCATACATTTACTTTGTTTAAACTTGAACTCTCTGTGTAAAAACTATATAAACGTAATTTCCTGAGTACTCTCCACTAAGTCCGGAACTTCCTATCAACTGATATCACGTAAAATTTGCTAGTATTTTAAAGCGTTTCTGTACATATATGGTGAGAGATGGCTGCTAGCCAAATCGATAGACAGTAATTTACGTCAATGTTCACGTCGCAAATATTAGTCATGTGAAAACAAGAACAAAGAATGACAGCAGACTTTGCGTAGGCGGATACAATTAGCAGATAGATGACATGACACTCAAGAAAAAGCCATAAAAACATGAAAGATTAACTTTTTGTGAGAAACAACCAATCAGAAAACTGTTTGTCAGCTAACAATAATCTAAAATAATGTACATGAAAATCTATAAATTTGTGTTGATTTCCTTAATAAACGATCTGTTGCCTGACCCTTGCCTTCTGTCGTTACACATATACCTAATAATTTATTTAGGCTGTAGGCAGCTGATGAGGAGCCAAAGAAATAAATGATGGTACCATATTATTCTGCAAAAAATGTTGTTCTTGCTTTAATCAAATCTTGTATTCCTAAGACGAAGCATTAATAGTATTATCTTAAATTTTGCATGTGATTTAACGCTCATAATTGTGCACGCAATATACTGATGAGATATACCAAGAACAAAAGCGACTGTCACCAGCAATAGTCCGCAGATAGTAAAAATGACAAAATTTCAGCGATATTACTCAAAATATGAGGAATTTTAGTGTACAATCACATTAGGATTCGATTAAAGTATGACTGACAAGGATATGAGTACCAGAGATTAATCCATTTTACTGAAGAATTAAGGAAAAAACTCTCCCCAAAACACAATGGTGATTTTACACAATATGATAATAAGTGCAGAATATTATGATAATACTCATGTTATACCATGGTGATAACCCATCTTAAGACAAAATTTGAATTGAATTAATTTACCTTGTTTGTGGATTTTGGCTGAAATCTCGAAGTTCACAGTTTATGCTTGAACTTCGGCTTATGTAACTTGAATGTACACTTGATAAATTTGGAAAGTTATTCGATTGAGAATCATTCAAAATGCTGGTATCCCTTTCAGTATTTTTCTTGCAAAGTGTCATATTAGATGCTGCTGCTGACTTATCTATACTCGTATATGAAGCACGGACAAAAAGCGCGGCTCTTCCTAATGTAGGTGTCCGTGGATGACGAAGAGCTACTGCTGATTTACAGACAACAGGAGTAGGTGGATAAACTTTTTCACTTTTTGTATACAACTTTGATATTCTCTCAGTGGACATATCTGAAAGATTATCTGATTGTGTAGTACTTGGAATTCTTTGACCATATTTAGGAGGTCGTACAACGATGTTATTGTGTCTGTCGTCCTCGTAGTCACCAGTCAATGTGTTAACACTTTCATTAGTTTGAAACGGTAAAATTTCTCTTTCTTCAGGTTCAGAATTACTGGACTTTTCTTCTTCAGGCCACTGTAAGCTCATTTTAACAGTTGATGGAAGATATGTCATACTTGATACAAATGGAAAAAAGGATAAAAAAACAGTTACAAAAGTTGGACAAGAGAACAAATATCTAATTTATAGTATTAGGTATCTCATATACACTTAAGTATTCAGAAACTCTTCTTGAGAAACTAATAAATAACATCGATGGAGAATATAGGTTCACCTTGGACTGAAACCAAATTTAGTTAGAGTCCCGATGTGGTAATCTTAGTCTTTGAAGTAGACTAACAGCTATCGTTTTTATGTGATTAACTATGCCGAAAGACGGAATCTAACACAGATTTAACAACACTATTTCCTTCTTTAAATGTTACACAAAAATCTAAATATAGCCGTATAGTTGGCTCAGTGTTCTGTTGATTCAATAACAAGGTTTACTTTTAGTCGATAGAGTTGTTTACAGATGTTTATTTAAAGTATATTTCCGGTTGGCTATTTATTGTTTGCTCATTCTGAATATTGTTCAAATAAATCTATCATTTATTAGGCATGCGGTATATTATAATGATGATATAATAAGTAAATAATTTATCCCCAAATCCTGAGCGTCATTGGTTCAGCAGTACAACGCTCACCAAACCTGGACATGAACCCGGATTCGATCCCTTGACAGTACACCCCTAAATCTTGCTTACCTGGTAGTAAAGCCAGTAAAGAGGGAAATTTGGAGGTAGGGCTAGTAGTTTCACCTCTTAAAACTAAAGCAACTGCTACTGAAACTTCAGAGCTCTAGCTTGAAGCCCTGTGTTCCACTCGGGATGTAAACGAAATAAATTATTCAATAATAAATATCCACAAAGTAATCAATAGTCTTTTTGGGTGAGTACAAATTTCGAAGTATTCACAGTTTTCTAATGTCCAGGCAGCTTATTGCCTGTTTTCATCTTGTGTCACCCATGCATTAAGGGGGGGGGGGTTTATTAGTTAGAAAGGAAGAGTAAAATAATTCTTTATATCTCTAGCTGAAAGCTAATATACAAATTTGAATTAAATCACTAATAGATTTTTTGATCCAACATACATTTAACAAGGTGTCTAGAAATTGGTTCATTAGATGACAATGATAACTGATGCTAACGTTCCATGAGATGATACCCATATTTAAAACATCTTCCCCCTAAAGCATTTCCAACAAGTAGTAACTGTTGAAATACTAGTATATAATGATTTCATATATTGCTCTAAGGCTAGCCAACTAAATAATCTACAGACATGATTATTAATTTTAATTCAAAAGCTTAATATGCAAACTGACACATGAATATTGTGTCAATGAAATGGATGACATGTGTGTGACCGATTAAAATTGAATTAATTAGTTCGCCAACCTAACTAGGAAGAAGAAAAAGTAATAGTATTCGTAAAAGTACACAATAATTCCTATAGAATGGAGCTGCCAGTGGCAGTGAAAAATTATGATTATTTAAATACTAAAATTACTGACATGAAGAGCAACTCTATAAACTTCAAGTATCCTAATCTAATAGGAAAATAACAGTAGGCTTTCTTTCTTTATTTTCATTCTGATTGAAAAATAGCGTTTCGATACTTTCACATTTTTAGTGGTAGAGATTCTCCTATTATCGGGTAAGATTACTATATCCATACCCTACCTTTCCTCTTCTCTGGGCTCACCGTAGGCTAGTAAAGTTGGTGAGGTTTAGGGATGCCTCCATTGGGAGTCGGATCCCATGTGTGGTTGGCGGGCATTCTACCACTGAAGCATTTCAAAACATTCATAGTGGAGATTAATATTCGGTTGCAATGGTACAGAACATCCAACTAGTAATAATATTTAAGTAAAGAAAAGAAGAGGAAACTATTATGGAAAAAAGTATGCTTGTAGAGCCAGGTTTAGGATCGCCACTGTTTATTTCTGGGTTTTTTCTCGAATAAGAAACTGGACTGTGTATATCGACAGAAGATTGAGGTCACAAAATTACTCACTGTCTAACTATATCAGTTGTTTGTTGTAACGAGTGTTAGTGATTTCCTTTGGTTGTTGTCTATCTTGACTTGAATGCGCCTCCAGTCACAACACTAAAGCCAGCTGATCACTTGAAAATATTACCCACACTAAGGTGGATAAAAAAGTCAGATTTAACTACAACAACCGTAACAACAACAACTTTTTGTATCAAATGCAGGATATATATATCTTTTACTCATCAATAGAAATCTAAACCATTAACAGATAGTCAATATGTCATAGACTGCATGAGTTTGAAGATCCTCCAAAATGAGTCATTGAAAAGTTGTCCAATCAGGTTATCATGTTGACGCATGCATCAATCCTAATACCTTCCTTCTCATTTCTTTGTTTGGGGTCCACCTGAATATGCTTCTCACGTCTACGTAACCTCTGCGATGTTCGTGGTACCATTGACTGCGGTTTACTTGATTTTTTTTCACAGTTGTTTCTGTGCAAGGGATGTCTATGGGTAAACTCCCCTGAAAACAGTTGCTGGTATTACAAAAATCTTCTCATTTCCTAATGTGGTTTATGTGTGTTGACCACAGCAGTCCTCTAAAATTCACCTTGTATGTCTCTGTGGCCGTTTTCTCTTTGATTGCTCCTATAGTCCATTTTGAATATAGCAGTTTGAAAATCACTAACCCGCACAGACTCGCCAATGGAGAAGTACCTGTCCCATGACGTTAATTGTATTGCTCTCCCGTCTTCGTAATTCTTGACTTTTCCTTTTCACGCCATGGACGTAAATCATCCTGCAGAATACGAATTTCACGTTCGAATGCATGTTCTGAAGGTGACAGTCCGTTGGTAGTCGGTGGATTAGGTACTGACTGACAATCCAAAAGGAACGTTTGCAGTACCCGTCCTGACGTCCCGTACTCCCTTCCTTTCAGAATGGTTCGTTTGAGTGTATCTACAAGACGTTCTGCTTGGTCATTCGACTGTTGGTGATACAGTGGACATCAGACGTGCTGAATGCTAATTTCCCGGGAATACTGCTGGAAATGACTTGACCTAAACTGCGTTCCATTATCAGTTACAACTATGTCATCTAGTCCAAAATGGCAGAGTACTTCTCTAAATTTTTAAATCGCAGATGTCGCAGAAGCATTCTACATGATAAAAATTCTGGCCATTTTGAAAATGCATCAGTTGTTACCCGTAAGTGTTTCTCTGGGAATAGGCCAGAAGAATCAATATGGACTCTAGACTATGCACAAAATAGGACCAACCATAACTGAGGTTCTGCTTTCACTGGTAGTCTACCAGCTTCTGCATACCTGCTTCAACTCCGGGCTATGTGTTCAAATTCACTATCTAAATTTGTCTAGTGTACATAGCTCTGCGCAGCTACCTTCATTTTACTGATTTCTTGGTGAGATGAATGTAGCTGACGGAGGACAGAGCTACTCACTACTTGAGGGGACACCACATTATCATCAAACATTAGGCAGTTATCCACTGCAGAGAAGGAATTTCGCCTTTGATAAAGGTGTTTTATTTGTGGACAGGCGAGTTGGGATGACCAATCGTACTGAAGGAATCTCACAACGTTATCCATCATAAGGTGAGAATAACTAGCTACTTTAAACCTTGTGACTGGTAATTCTACAGGTTTGACAGCGTTTATTAAAACTCCCTTTACATCCACTTCGACAGGGACTTCACCCACCACCATATCTTGGTTTTCTAGCTTATAGCTTTCAATCAGGCGCACTGGTGCATCGGTTTGATCAAAATTATATGTAGACTTGTACTTTATTTTGAAATTATAAGACAAAAGGAAAACAGTCCATCTTTGAAGCTCATTCTGTGTTTAAACTGAGATTCCCTTCCTAGAACAAAAAATTGATAGCAGAGGTTTGTGATTAGTAAGAAATGTAAAACTGAGTCAATGAAGCGTTTTATAAAACCTTTTTAGTGTAAACACCAATGCGTGACCCTCTTTCTTTGTCTCTCTATAGTCCCATTCAGGTTTTGTCAAAGTTCTTAAACCATATCTAACTAGATTTTTAGTGCCAGTTGGCAACAGATGTGCGATAACTGCGCCGATACTATAAACAGACGCACCGGCTGTAACGATCATTTCCAACTTAAAGTTGTAGTGTACTAGTGTAACAACAGAAGACAAGGGCCAGGCAACAGATCGTTTTATTATGAAAATCAACACGTATTTATACATATTTCAACTACATTATTATAGACAAGCGCAGTCATCTGATTGGTTGTTTATCAGAAGTTAGGTAGACAAACGCAGGCTTCTGATTGGTTGTTTCGGGATTCCTTGACAAATAGAGTTCTCTATCTGCGAATCATATTTTGCCACGTTAACTTTGCTGTGATTGGTTGTTGACTCAGCCTTGTTCATATTTTCTCACGGCCCATATTAGTGACCTAGACCTTAACGTAGATTAGTGCCAACCAATCGGCTAGCAGCCTGCTCTCACCACACTCGTCCCCCCGTCAAATAGCTTCGTGCGCAGACGTTCCGACCTTCTGGGTGCTACATCCTCTAGTTGAGGATTGTTACTGACCGGCTTGTCCCACTGTACCCATCTTTGGAGCTGACTGGCGTTAACTCGTTTCTGTTTATCACCTCTTCGGATGGTATATACTTGACCCCGTCTTTTTGTGATTGTGTATGGTCCTTCCCACTTTGGAAGGAGTTTCCGTGAACCTAGCCCGCCTCCAACTGTATATCTCCTGTCTCTACACTTCACTTGGTCCCCGACTGCAAAGGTAATGCACTGCGTCCTTTCTTTCATCTGAGACTTCATGACATCACTGCGCTGCTTCCGTATTACATTCTTGACTGCCTCTTTCCTCTCTGCTTTTAATTTCGTCGTACTCCACTTTTGGTGCATGGGCCAGGTCTCATTGTGTACCGGTAATCGTGGTTTTCTACCATACATCAGTTGGAAGGGTGACTTCTTCGTTGTTTCCTGAGTGGTAGCCCGATGTGTTAGTAAAATCAGTGGAAGCTCCGTTTCCCAGTTCCCGCCCTTCGAGGCCAGCCACTCCTTCAGTGTACGGTTGTTTCTCTCCGTTAGGCCATTCGTTTGTGGATGGTATGGGGTCGTTCTGATCCTCTTGATGCCCAGCTGTTGCAAACGGGAAGTAAACTCTTCACTCTCGAAACAGGGACCTTGGTCTGTCAGTATTGTCTTCGGTACGCCGTGGTCTGCAACAATGTGTCTAACTACTGCATCTGTCACGGTTCTTGCACGTTGGTCTGGGATTGCTACGGCGTCTACCCATCGTGTCGCGTGTTCCGTCATCACCAAGAGGTACTGATTACCATTGGATGTCTGAGGAAATGGACCCATGACATCTACGGACCACAAGTCACCTATCGCGGTAACTGGAATCGACTGAAGTGGTGGTCGTATACACCGGTCACCTTTCATCAGCTGGCACCGTGGACATCCAAGTACGTATCTTGCTACGTCTTCTCTCATACCTGGCCAGTACATACTTTGTCTTAGGAGATCGGTCGTTCTGGCCACGCCTGTATGCGCTAGCTGGTGACATTCTTCTATCATGTCGTGGCGCGACGATTGAGGTATGACAGCCAGCCAGCTTCCGTCGTTCTCTCGCCAGGTCAGAGTCCCGTAGGCATTCACTCTGAGTCGATCCCTCTGTCTGAGTAGTGTGGTTAGCTCCTTACTCGCCGTAGTTTGATCCACTTCTATTCCGTTGGTGATCACCTGTATTACTGTATTCAGCGTATCGTCCAACCTCTGCCTACGTGCAAGTCTTAGTGGGTCTTGTTCTACTGCATGCACTCCGTAAGCGACCTCGGGCAACTCAGACTCATCTTCTGGTCTCGATAACAAATCTGCCAAGACATTTTCACTTCCAGGAACGTGTGAGATCGTAAAATCGTACTCCTGAAGACGCAACATCCACCGTGACAACTTCCCCCGTGGGTCTCTCGCTGTCTTCAAAAATTGTAGCGGCTTATGATCAGTTTCGATGTGGAACCGCCGGCCGAGTAAATAAGGTCTCCATTTGTCGACTGCCCATACCATTGCTAAACATTCTTTCTCTATCGTTGAATACTTTCTCTCTGCGAGTGTCAAAACCCTACTGGCATACTCAACGATTCCCTCGTCCTGTCTTAGGACCGCACCTATAGCGTAGTCACTGGCATCTGTGCACACTGTGAACTGTCTTCCTGGCACAGGTAGTTTTAGCGTCATTTGTTGGTGGTCGAGCAGCTGTTTAATTCTGTCGAATGTCCTCTGCGATTCTTCCGACCAAACAAACTTTGGCTCACCTAGTAGCCTGTATAGAGGGGCTGCTATCTCATTGAAGTTCTTCACGAAGCGGCTATAAAACGCTGCTCTACCCAAGAATTGTCTCAGTTTTCTCTTTGAATTCGGGGCTGGAATCGTTTTAATCGTCAAAATTTTCTCCGGCAGTGGTTTAATCTCACCATTTCCCACTTTATGTCCCAACAGAGTAACATTCTTTTTGGCTATCTGGGACTTGGTTTTGTTGACGCGTAGTCCAAACTCTTCGATGCGTCGCAGCACGGCTTCTACATGGTTGACGTGATCGTTTTCGTTTTGACTGTATATGACGAGATCATCACCATAAACCTCCACGTTTTTCAAGTTCCTAAGTAATAGCTTCATCAGTCGTCTGAACGTAAACGGTGCACCTGCTAGTCCAAACGGCATGCGTTTAAATCGATATTGTGTCTGACCCACGATGAAAGCCGTCTTATCTCTATCACCTTGTTTTATCGGTATCTGCCAGTATCCTGAGCGAAGATCGAGAACCGAAAACACATTCGCACCTTGTAGGCGATCTAAAGTTTCTACCACTGTTGGCATGGCACACGGTCTTAACTCTGTCATACTGTTTAACTGTCGAAAATCAACACAGAATCTATACTTCCCATTCGCTTTTTTTACTAACAGCACTGGAGAGTTGTACGGGCTATCAGCTTCCTCAATAATGTCATCTTTTAACATCTCTTGCACTTGTCGCTCCACTTCGCCTTCCAGATGACATGGAACTCTTCGCGTTGTAAATGACCTTACTTTCGGATCACTTAACGGAATTTCATGATTCACCTTATCGCAATAACCGTATGGGTCGCCATCTCCAGTGAACAGATGATCGTATTTACTAATTAACTCTGTCACATTGTGTACCGTCGGCAGCTTAATCGCTGCTATCTCGCTGGTCTCATACATGTTGATATGCCCGTATTTCGTGACCACCACGTTCGCTTGCGTGTCGATTATGGCACCAATCTCACGCAGAAAATCCGCTCCTAATATCGTTCGCTGTAGTTCGGGTACAACAATGAAAGGAAACGTCACCTCGCAGCCACCAACAACGACCGTACAGTTCGATCTACCCGTGATACGCAACACATACCCGCCTACTGTTTGTACTGTCAATGAACACGGGCTAACACTCTTACATAAATTCTTATCTATTAACGACACGGCCGCCCCTGTATCTATCAAACATACTACTTCTCGATCATTCACTCGCAACTTCGAATACAGAGCCCTTTCTCAATAGCCCCCACTAAATCTAGGTTCATACGAAAGAAAGAACAAGCATTATACCGTCTGAAATTTTTTCTTTTTCGCCTTTCTGGGCAGTATCTTCTCCAGTGTCCCGGCTTACCGCATTCAAAACACCGGTCTTTTCTATCAGCCAACTTTAACGCCGCCACTTCCCGCTGCAATGCTTCAATTTTCTGCTCATATTCGTTTGGTTTTGGTTGGTCTATAGCGGCTACCGTTGTGCTCAGCAGCTGTCTGGTCACCTTCGCCAGCTCGCTAATATCCATCGGCTGCGTTGCGTTAACCAGTTGTAATCGCTGAGAAATGTGGTCTGGGACACTCTCGATGAATTGGGAAGACAGTAACTGCGCTTCTGATTCTTCATCTAAAGTGGGAAGCGCGCGTCGAAGTAGATTAGTCAGTTTCACCGCCAACACTAGCGGGTCTCCATCAGGTCCAAGCTTCATTGACCGGAACTGCTGCATTGCTAGCTGTCTGTCTGTTTCGCTGTCAAACTCGGACACTAGTCGTTCAACCAATTTCTTCCAAGACGCTGTGCCATTTGACCTGTCTACGCTGTCATATGCAGCCTTCGCTCGGCCTCTCAACAGCGTCCCCAGACAACTGCCTTCGCCGCCTGCTCCTTGACACCCACCAGCTCAGCAACGGCCTCGAAGTCACGTAAGAAGCTCCGTATGTCTCCTTCTTCAAACGCAGCTGGCCACGGGATCTTCATCTTTTTGGAGGCAGCGACACCAAATGTAACAACAGAAGACAAGGGCCAGGCAACAGATCGTTTTATTATGAAAATCAACACGTATTTATACATATTTCAACTACATTATTATAGACAAGCGCAGTCATCTGATTGGTTGTTTATCAGAAGTTAGGTCGACAAACGCAGGCTTCTGATTGGTTGTTTCGGGATTCCTTGACAAATAGAGTTCTCTATCTGCGAATCATATTTTGCCACGTTAACTTTGCTGTGATTGGTTGTTGACTCAGCCTTGTTCATATTTTCTCACGGCCCATATTAGTGACCTAGACCTTAACGTAGATTAGTGCCAACCAATCGACTAGCAGCCTGCTCTCACCACACTAGAAGTAAATTGGAAGTTAATATTTCGTTGACTTTCTCGTATTCACCTTAACATTCATTCGGACAATTCCATTTGGCATCTTCTTACGGCAGTTTGTTCAATGGTTTTCTTGACCAATGCATTTCTATAGAAACTTTTTTTCCTCCACGTTCCCAGTGGAACATAGGGCTTCAAGCTAGAGGCTGAGGTCGCCCAACCTTTCCTGTTTACCGGCATTTTATTGCTGGTTTGGTGAGGTAAAGGAGTGCGTCGGTCGGGGATCGATCCCCGGAGCATATGCATGGTAAGTGAGCGTCTTAAACACTATGCCGCCGACTCATCTCTACAGAAACTGTTTAGTCCTAAAAAGGGATGAAATATATTTACGTTGTGGGGAGTAGACATAGCTATAATATTTTCTGGATCTGGTCGACTTAACTACATTGTATAACAAAGGAAAAGTGATCAGAATAAATAAAGACTAATAAATCACTTACCTCAGATTAGTAGAACTTTCCAAGGCTAAATATTTTGCAAACTGTGAATGTTTCTCTGAAGCGTTTCTGATTGCTTCAAATGGTGATACCTCATCAGCGATTAAATCCATTTTCTGTTTTTTCGATTTCTTTATGTTACCAGTTTTAAGAAAACGCTAGTAATACAGATGGATAGAAGTTAAACAGAAAATACATAAGTTGAAATCTATTTGGTTGTAGAAAAAAGGAACTTACTATTCAGTAGATATTTACTAATATCTACCATGGAAAGAATACGTTTGTAAATAAAAGTTTGCCTTGGATAAAATTCTGTTTCGGTGGCACAACGGTAAAATGCTCACCAACCACGCATGTGGTTTGGGGTAGATCCCTGGCCGAAGCTAAGCTAATGATAAGACTGGCCATGAGGCTAACAGCCCCATCAGGTAAAAATAAGCACCACTGCTACTGAAAATTCAAGTCTCTGGCTGGAAGCCCTATGTTCCACTTGGAACGTGAAGGAATAAATAAATAGATAAATCTATATTCAGTCCATTATATTGTCTACTGTACTTATAATAAAAAGCATTTCACTATATAAAAGGGAATTTTCTGCGTCAACCATGTCCTAAAAAAGCTTTTTCTTTTTTTAAACCAGCGATTCATCTTCTCATTTTTTTTTTACAGCTTCAAATGAAACTGCACTTGTTGAACAATTTACATGTTATCACTTATGAACATTTTTTGTCCCATTGCAGTCGATTAATGTGTTTACACGCCTTATATAATATTTTAAGATAATATAAATTATAATATGAAGAGAAGGGGGCGGGGGAAAGAAGGCGCTTTAGAAACAGTTAAATATGGCTTCTTATCAACAACAACAACAGCAACAACAAAATTGCAGGGCAACAACTACTTTCTTATGTATTTGTACATGTCTTAAAATGAATTACATTATCAGCTAATCTTTCTTTTAATATACATAGGCTTTGAATAGAATAACGCTAGCTAAATAGTTTCAAACAGAAAAGAAAAAACACCTGTCGTTTGAGTTTTACTAATTTGTGATATTCCGTATGTAAAAGAATAATCCCCGAACAAATTCTGATACGAGTTAGTAAGCTTTAGATGACTGAAATATTGATATTTTTGAATAAATAAAAAAAATACCAGTTGTATTTCGTAGATTTAATTCTTCGCAAAAGATATTTAATGCGTTGTATAGTAATCATAATACATTCTGGAAAATGTCTTCAAATACTTTAAAATAAAAGTGTTTATTCAAAATATATTAATGGAAATAGCATTTGCATGTTTTGCACACACCTCAGTGAATATACCGGAACAGTTTTATGCTCAGTGAACTTCAATGCATAGTGATCATAGGAAATCCCCTACATAATCTCCACAAATGACTATATAATTTTCATAATGAAATATAAATTTGGTTCTAATTAGGTTTTAATGGGACCTGAATAACACAAGGTTATCTGAGACAATATGATTTTCAGTTTTCAGAGTTCGAGCCAGATACTCAAGAAAACTTTGACTGAAACGCAGTGATATACATTCATTTCCGAGAAATACATAGACTTTGTAATAAACGCTTTACATTGCCGAGTAGAGGGACTTGTGATATGCTCCGCATTGATGGTATGACCTCATTTACATATGAAATGTTTACTTTAGGTTTATGGGTCATATTTAACTCAAATGTGGTGCCAGATATTGATGTACCTGTTTGACACCAAAATTTGAATGTTAGCACGTTTTACAATTGCCTACTGAGACAACACAGTGTAGTAATGTGCAATTAGTTCCGAACTTATTTTAGTGTTTCTTAAATTCTTACTCTGATATTTTTACGAGTTGATCACGGCTTGATATCAGTTAGAGAACTACTGAAAACCAGGGAGTACTAGATAGCTGTTCTATCCTAATTTTGGGAATCATCAGCAGTACGCACTCACTGCCTGGGTTCGAACCCAGGACCTTCCGGTTACAAGGCGAACTCGTATACCATTCAGCCACTGGGACCCGATTCAATGGCTCATGAATTCTAACTTCTACCAATTCGTGATAGTTACAATGAGGATACATCTCGTGAAATTCATTCCAGCGCAATTTAACTTTTTCCCTGTCAAATGTTTCAATAAATATTTAACTGGAACACAAACCTGACGATTCGCTATACACTTTATCACTAACGTTTTAATGGCGATTTTAATTTTTAACAGTAATTCAATTTGCACAACCCTTTTAAGTTACTCTTAGTTAGTGTTATTAATCTCTACTCTTTCTCAGGTTCTTCCAGGTCCTTTATACAAGAAATTAACAGACGTATATTAGTTTACGGTATAAATAAAAATCAAGTCATCATCTAGTACAAAATCTGCCGACAAGTAAGTTTCCGCTTCACTCTCAGTCATCAACTATTACATGAACTGTAGTCTAAAACTATGTCAGATGATCAAATTTAAAGACTGTACAATCCTAAAATGTTCGAACATTCAATATGACATAAATGATTAGTACCTTAGTTCTGTTTGTGTGAGTTCTGAAATAATATTTAGCTCATTTTTAAATAATTCCAAAGCTGCATTACGCAGCATGCTGTTGTGTACAGTTGCTATATCAAAAAGAATCATTTGGCTTCCTTTTTGGTGTAATATTCTACAGCATGTGAATTCTTATAGCATAAAGTCTGAGCAACTTCTAGAGGAAAACAATTATCCTAACACGTTTTCAGTATGATTATGATTTTGGAAACTCTTATTCTCAAAGTAAATCCCACAAGTGATAAGTGAAAATTTAGTCCAAATTGGATGATATAATCCACAATATACTTACCAAAAATCGCCTTCCATGTGTATCCATCTCCTCCTCCTTGGACTTACAGTCAGCTGACACATTAGTTAGAGATGTCTTTTCCACTCCACAATCTTCATTTCTTTCAAATTCCGCTGAAGCGGTTGATTGTTTTCGCGATCCAACTGTTTTAAACCATAATACTGGCATTGATAATGATGTCGAGGAGCTGGCCGGATTGATGCTTAGTGAATTACTTTCTTTTTGTTAATTACTGCACAAGTTCAAACCAAAATAGTATTGTGATAATGTTATCCAACTATCTATTTTTCCAACAATATCCAGCTTCCACTTTATCTCGTTAGCTGTTAGTTAAGTAAGAAAAGGAAAACCTTTAAATGTCTATTTGCATTACCACTAAAGAGATAAATGCATCTCACAGATCACATGGAGTTATTGTACATTTGGATCTTTGTCAAACATCACAGATGGTACCATTTTATTCTGCTAAAACTGTAGTTCTTGCTTTGTTCAAATTCATTAAGGAGAATAAATGTATGAAATCACAGTACTTGTTTCTTATTGTACTATTTATTTAAAAGGATAAGTTCCCTTTATGAATTTAGACATAGCAGTAAAAAGATGTAATTTTTCTGAATCGTGTAATGTATTTGCGCAACACATTTCGAACAATCTGATCACACACGGACTTGTCATAGGAATCTATGTAAAATTAATAAAGAGTCAAGAGGTGAGAAAATAGGCTTAGATCAAGTTAAAACGATATTTTGAAGGTCAGAATAACAATGGTCACTAAACCAAATAACAAAAGCAATAGAACATCTACCCTGGTATCGAAACACAGTTTACCAAAGAAGGTTTAGTGTGAAGATGAATTGTTTTTAAACACAGAAAGGTGGTTTAAACTTCCTAATTGTCAGCTGGAGCTTCCACAAACATTAGAATACACCCCAACCACATTTAATAGATAGGTTTAAAAGATGTGTGAACATCAGTTTGATATCCTTTCACCATAAAATGTTTCGCAATGGAGGAGCTAGTTCGACAGTCCTCACCATTAATGGGTTCTTGGGATTCTGTTTGCTTCTGAAGCCATCTAAGAATATGCTCTGAAGCTCTAGCCCTTACTTCCAGAGATTGCTGAGTCCTCCCTACGAATATATGGGCAAACGTACATTGAAATCGGTAAATACATTAAGATTTGACATCAATTTTCGCAATTTTTAAGGGGTTAGATGTATATATCGTCTTCACATTCTCAATTATTCTGATTTTAGCTGCATGAAAAGTCTCTTCAACCCCAGCGTTCAGTCTCTGTTGGATTACCAAGCTGCTATAATCACCCATCTAGGGTAGCTTGATATGTACGTCTTTCCTAACGGCAAGTTAGAGAATGGGTCTCGGTGTTCTGATTACTTCGTATCTCCCAGTGAACTTGTATGAATAGTTATTATCAACCACAGTTTGTGTCAACTTTCCTTCTTCCTCACCATGTGAATATTCGTTGGATTCGACTAGAAAAGCATCTTGATAAGGCTCTTTTATACCCAACAGGACAGAAAGTGTGACACAAAAGAGCCTTAGTAAGGTGCATCTTAGCTCTTTATTAATTTCATATATATATATTCCTATGACAAGTCCGTGTGTAATCAGATTGTTCGAAATTCGCTGCGCAAGTACATTACAGGATTCAGAAAAAGTACCATTTATTGCTGTTCAGCTGTGGTATGTATTTAGAATTAATAACTACATAGATGAGTTTCATTTATGAAACCAAATTGTCGCTTTTATTAATCTTATGGTTGTATTCACCAGTGTACAGCTACTTTCTGTTTTTCTGCTAAGCTAATAACTGAATCTTTAACTGGCTTCCGCATGTATTTTCTCACATCGAATCATTCAAATTTACATTGGTTTTCTTATCCTTATCACTGACATTCGACAATAATATTCATTTATTTCGGAATCATACTTTTTAAAAATCAGTAAATTCCGAAGGATGGTAAAAAAGGCCGGTAAATAATTATATATTCAAACATTTATTATTAATGAATTACAAATGCAATATGCTTTTGTAGCACTGAAATGAGGTAATGCGTCACCGGTATCTAATCTACGTTTGAATAAACTTTTATTCGCTTATTCTAAAAACTGCTATTCAGTGGAGGAATTCTCTCTAGTAGGATTTCAGTAATGTTAGGATTTTGGCTATCACAGGTACACAAAATATAGTTCATTAAATGGGATCACATTTTAATTTTGTAAGATAATCTGTCAAATTTTGAGGTATTCAGTAAAAATTAACTGGCATTTTTCTGAAGAGTCTCGTATACACTGTGCTACTAGATTAAATTACATATATATACTGCTATTTTGCTATCGATTTTCTTTATTCTTTGCTTGCTTTAGTGAATCAGAAATCAAATACTGACCTTCATTGCCATTGATTAAGAACAAAACTGTTAACATTGGAGTTCTTGAATTTGACGCAGGAGAGATGTATTTTATTCCTCTACGTTCCCAGTGGAGCATCGAGTTTCGAGCTAGAGGTTTCAAGTTTCTGTAGCAGTGGTGATTGTTTTTTACAGGATGGAGCTGCTAGCCTTATGCCCAACCTTCCCTCCTTACCAGTCTTACTTCTGGCTTAGCGAGATAAGGGAGTGCGTCGGCCGTGGATCGAATCCCAGATTACTTGAGTGGTTGGCGAGCACTCTGTCGCTGTGCCATAGACTCCAGGAGAGATCGATACGTTCAAAAACCCTAGAATTAATTTAAATTTGTACGCTCACCTTCCGGCTGGATATAACAAACATAAAATTGGACTTTTTAACCATCAATCTTATTTATTACATGATATTGTACTTCTGCTGGACACTTATTAAAGAATTTAGAGTACAAGTTTTTAAAGTGACACAAATTTAGATAAAGACTGCAATACTGTACAATCAGCGCTATATTAAGTCGGCTATGTATTTGTAATTGTAATAATCTTTTGATACTTACTGAAGGCATGTCAGTTCACTCTTACACAAAAGCTGAATTGAACCTGAGTATTTTAGATGAATAAATATCATCTCAGTTACTAGTGGATGACCTTCCAATAAACTGTGTGCATCCTAGATTTCTGCGATAATATTTGAACCACTTAACTCAACTAAACCAATGATACCCATCATTTTTGTTTTCCTGCAGTATTATCTTGTCAATCACGTATTACACATCACTGGCAAAATAAATAACTGACACTTACACTTCCCCTGCTGCACCCAAATATTCAACAGATACACAGTCATTCTGATAAAAATACACGGCTGAAATTAGGCAACAAGTATTTTGTTATATTGATGCATCCTCAGTAATAATTAACGGGCATCCTAATGCTCTGACATTAGTTCCTTGAACTATCTGTTACAGAGTATGTAGAAAGAATGCTCACAAAGAGATTGAAAAGTGGCCACACAAAGTAAAAAGGTAACTATATAAGTAAATTTCACAACTGTTAAATGAGAAATGTTCAAATGAACATAAATAGGTAGATATAAGTCTAGTTGTGCAAAATAATGATGGTAATTAAGAGAAAAGTATCAGTTTGAATGACATTTCACTGAGGGCCATATTTAATGACTTGTTTGCTTACTCATTTCTTAATAATTTATTAATTTAATTAATTTTTCCTTCACGTTCCCAGCGGAACATAGGGCTCCAAGCTAGTGGCTTGAAGTTTCTATAGCAGTGTTTATTTTACAGAATGGGGTTGCTAGCCTCATACCCAACCTAACCTTTTTACCAGAATTATTTCTGGCTTAGCGAGGTAAAGGAGTGCGTTGGTGGCCGGGAATCGAACCCCAGACCATGTGCATGGTCGGCGAGCGTCCTATACCGCTATACTCATTTCTTGATCATTGAAATAATTCAGTAACTCGTTCTCATACCTTAACCTCAGTCTTAAAAGAACGACAAATCTAATTTCGGAATATTAGTCTCCCATAGTAAAATATAGAATGACACATGTAAGCGAACAACACTGTTTTCAAGTACACTTTCTAATCTTTATATGCAATAATAATATTATGTGATACTAGGTTGTAATGGAAGAAGGTTAAATGTGATTTAATGAACGTGCAATAGAACTAGGAAAGGCTTGACAAAACATGGCATGAAAGAGATTAAAAATATATAATAGAGGTGGTGGTATCATCAATTATTTAAGCCTACACTAGCCAAAGCAAGCGTGACGAATGCGTGAACTTCTTTCTGGAAGCATAGTTCATTACTGTCAGTTCGGATACACACAAACTCTGTCATATGAAGATAATTAAAAGGATAGAACGAGATGCAATGATTCAACTTGTGTACTGCATAGTGGAGTCTATGTTGGAGATATGGTGTAAAAAAAATAATGAAAGCTTCGCAGTTAAACCATCCAACTCAGAGAACCGAACTAGGTTTAACTTATGTACACTAAAATAAAGCCCGAGATGTGAGTGAAAACTATATTATTTGCTTACGTGTATTATTCTAAATTGTAAAATGTAATTATCAATAGGGGTAACGGAAAGAATGTTTGGAAAATCCCACTTGAACGATCTAATCCCAATATTTATTCTTATTTGGAAGTTTCAAGGAACTTTGCAATTACTTTTCGTTTTCCTCTTAGACTGTACACCATTATTTTGACATTTGCATATCGGATTTTGACTTGATCCTTATCATTTGTCTTTGTCACTGTTTAATCTCTGACTATTTTGCTCGTCTTTGCGATTGTGAGATACACTGATAACGAGTTGTTTAATGGTGTGATTTTGTTAAAGTGAACCATGGTGGTTTCGACCCTGGACTGTGTGGAGGAAGTGTTGGTGGGTGATTCTTGTGAACAGAGTTTTTATCCGTCCTTGGTGGGAATATCCCACTCAATTCTAAGGTAGTGCTAATAGTTGAATTCGGTTAACTAATATTGTTCTACAATACTTGTTTTGTACTTAGAACAATCTCTTGATCGCAAAGCTACCCAACGATACTGTCGAGGTAATTTTGAGTTTTTGATATTATTATTGTTGAATGGAACCACAGATTCCAGTACCGAATAACCGTCCTTTTTCTGTTTTTTGAGTATTTTGTGACTGTGCGTGTCTCAAGTAAGTTTTGTCAGCTATACAGTAGGATGCAGAGATTGATTTCCTACGTTCAGACCAAGGCGACTCGGTTTGATTGATAATTCAAACCAAAATGTCAGATATGTTACCCTAAAGGAAGGAAAGTGAATTTGGAAAAATTATTTAAACGGAGGAGCTAAACGAATATTATTTCATACATCCTGAAAACTGATTTAAATGCACCTATATTT